TTAGGCTGTATATATATGAGTTTGTGAGAAGGTAGGCTATGTAGTTATTTTGCTTTCTCTAGATTCTTCCTCCCTTTCCTCCTTATGGAGAAATAACATAGAATTTCATTTTAATCTCTTGAGCTGTATTTCCTTCAAGAGTTGTTTGCCAATGAATCACATTTTTTTCTGTAGTTCAGTCTCAGACTCTTAAAACTTCAGCTATATTCAGCTTTTCTTTCCCAGATGATCATCCAAGGACACCTTTCTCCTGGGATGGATGGATGGATTGATTTCTTTCTTTCTTTCTTTCTTTCTTTCTTTCTTTCTTTCTTCCTTTCTTTTTCTTTCTTTCTTTCTTCCTTTCTTTCTTTGAGACAGGGTCTCTGTTGCTCAGGCTGGAGTGTAGTGGTGTGGTCATCGCTCACTCTAGCCTTGCTCACCTCCCAGGGGTCAGGTGATCCTCCCCCCTCAGCCCCTGTAGTAGCTGGGACCAGAGGCACACACCACCATGCCTGGCTAATTTTTGTTTTGTTTGTTTGTTTTTTGTAAACATGGGCTTTGCCATGTTGCCCAGGCTGGTCTTGACCTCCTGGGCTCAAATGATCCATCTGCCTCAGCCTCCCAAAGTGTTGGGATTATAGGTATGAGCCACTGTGCCCATCCCCTTATTTTCATTTCACTAACAAACCCCTCCTTGTTTGTAAGATTTAGGTTCAGAGTGGACTAAATTGCAAGACTTAGGTTCCTCTAGTCATTTTATCTCTTTGGAAGATGACATTGTCAGTGAAGCCAAAAGTTAAACAAGAATTATACTAGCTGAATGAAATCCTTAGTAAATGTCTAAATACTTGAAGCCACATCATTGCTCTTCCTTATTCACTCCCACCAGGTTCTTCCTGTTGCTTCCTGTGAAAGCATATTCTTCATCCTATGCTATTTTACTTCTTTTATAACTCATGTTCTGTGTTAGTCTGTAAAAGTTTACTTCTTTAATAACTCATGTTCTGTATTAGTCTGTAAAACGTGACATTGTGAGACTGTGAGAATTGTTTATGACCTATGTCTTAATGATTATTTCAATTGAAATGATTATTGGAACTGCAATCACAGTATCATTCTTGTTTCTACATGACTTAGACAAGAATTGTTTCCTTGCAGAAAACAGGAACATTCTCAGACTAACTTAAGCTCAAAATTGGGGCATTTAATGCAAGACTATATGGGTATGTCATACACTATATAACCAAGGAGACTAGCTTAGCTCTGTAAGGAACTCAACTGACATCTGGATAGTTGGGAATTGATTTCATTCTGTCTGTTCTTCTGTGCTTCTTGCAGTATGTCTGCACCATTCTCCAGCTTCTGCAGCCCCACATTTTCTGCTTTGGTGTGCACATGGCAGAAAACAACAATCTTATGTCCAATATACATGACCTTCAGATCAAGTGTCCAAGCCCCAGAACTTAATCTTGGTACCTCTACTTTAAACTTTCTCCCATATCTGATTGCCTTGGCTTGGCCTATGACTTACTTTCTTTGGTGTCACAGCCGACTCTTAGTCCAGTGATTTGGAGCTAGAGAGAAAAGGGTCATTGGATACCAACAGACTGTGGAAAATAGTTTTTATAAGAAGAGTATGAGGGCAGAGTAGGAATGGTTTGGTATTTCCACATTAGAACTGCCATCCTCTACTGTTTATTTTTGTTTTTATTTTACTTTCCCCACAATCACATTAAGTAGTTTCCAGCCAAACACAATCTTATACATTTTTGTAAGATACTCTCTCATCTTAGACTTTTCATTACAATTTTTTGTGTGACTATAATCAAATTATTTATTTATTTGACACATAATTTTATATATTCATGGGGTACAATGCGATGTTTTGATACATGTATACATTGTGTAATAATCAAATCATTGTAATTAGCATATTCATTGCCTTAAACATTTCTTATTTCTTTATTGTGAGAGCATTCAAAGTCCTATCTTCTAGCTATTTGAAATATACAATGCATTTTTATTAGCTATAGTCATTCTACTCCACAAATAGAACACCAGAACTTACTCCTCCTAACTGTAACATTCTTCCCATTGACCAATCTCTTCCCATCTCCTCCATTCCCCACATTCTCCCCAGTCTCTGATAACCACTTTTCTCTCAATTTCTATGAGATCGAGTATTTTAGATTCCATGTATGGGTGAGATTGTGTGGTATGTGTCTTAATGTGCCTAGTTTATTTTACTTGGAAAACTGGACATCAGCATGCAAAAGAATGAAATTTGGCCCCTATTTCTTACCATATACAAAAATCAACTCAAAATAGATTAAAGATTTAAATGTAAGACCCAAAACTATGAAGCCACTAGAAGAAAATCCAGGAGAAACACTACATTACATCAGTCTAGGCAAGAATGTTTTTACACTAGACCTCAAAAGCATGAGCAACAAAAGCAAAGATAAACAAATAGGACTATATCAAACTGAAAAGCTTCTTCACAGCAAAGGAAACAATCAATAAAGTCAACAGACAGCCTGTAGAATAGGGGAAAATATTTGTGAATTATATACCTGACAAGGGGTTAATATCTAGAATTTGTAAGGAACTCAGCTCATTAGTAAAAAGCACAATCTGATTTAAAAATGGGCAAAAGACTTGAGTAGACATTTCTCCAAAGAAGGCATACAAAGGGCCAACAGGTACATGAAAAAATGCTCAACGTCATTGAATTAGTCTAATCTCGTGCAACTAGTAAAGACATACCAGAGACTGGGTAATTTATAAAGAAAAAGAGGTTTAATGGAATCACAGTTCCGTGTGGCTGGGGAGGTCTCAGAATTATGGCAAAAGACAAAGAAGAGCAAAGTGATGTTTCACATGGCAGCAGGCAAGACAGTGTATGCAGGGGAGCTCCCATTTATGAAACCATCAGATCTCTTGAGACGTATTCACTGTCATGAGAACAGCACAGGAAAGACCCACCCTCATGATTCTATTACCTCCCACTGGGCCCCTCCCACAACACATGGGAATTATGGGAGCTACAATTCAAGATTTGGGTGGGGACACAGCCAAACCATATCAGTCGCTAACCATCAGAAAAATGCAAATAAAAACCACGATGAGATATCATATTACCCCAGTTAGAATGGCTACTATCAAAAAGGCAAAAGATATTGCATGCTGGTGAGGATGTGGAGAAAGGGAAACCCTTATATGCTGTGGGTGGGAATGCAAATCAGTACAGCCATTATGGAAAACAGTATGGAAGTTCCTAAAAAAATTAAAAATAGATCTACCATATGATTCAGCAATCCCACTACTAGGTATATATCCAAAGAAAATGAAATTAGAATATCAAACAGACATCTGTACTCCCATGTTTATTACAGTACTATTCAAAAACAGCCAAGATATAGAAACAACCTAAATGCCCATCAATGAAGAATGGATAAAAAGAAATGTGGTATATATACACAGTGGAATACCATTTAGCTATAAAAAGGGATGAGATACTGTCATGTGCAACAACATGTATGAGCCTGGAGGACCTTGCATTAAGTGAAATAAGTCATTCCAATGTTGGGGAGGGGGGTTGTTTTTGTTTTTGTTTTGAGACAGGGTCTTGCTCTGTTGCCTAGGCTGGAGTCCAGTGATGTTACCATAGCTCACTGCAGCCTCAACCACCTGGGCTCAAGGGATCCTCCTACCTCAGCCTCCTGAGTAGCTAGGACTACAGGTGCTCATGACCATACCTGGTTAATTTCAGTTCAGTATCTAAAATCATGATGTAGAACTTAAATTTCATTTATTAATATCTCCCATATTTTCCTCTTTTTCCTTAAGTGAATCAATAAAATTGTCTCCTATTTTCTAAAATGTATTAGTTTTCCTTTAATGATATTATTCCCAAAGATACTTCCTCAGTCTCCCTGCAGGTATCAGCATGACTGGGTAGCAGTCCTGGGCATATGCCTGAGAAAGATAACACTATTAGCCCTCCTTGGTTTATTGTGGTTGCTTTAGGCTCTACAACAAGGAGTTACCATCACCAAGACATACCAACACCCCTCCCATGTTAAGTATTTGGTATTCTTGACCTACTAGGACTGTTCAATTCCTTTCCAGCATTTTTTTCTGCCTCAAGGAAGGAGCGGCCACTTTCCATTGCCCCTTCAGCAGAAATCACATCTGCAATGTGTGTCTCCAGTGGGCCAGCTTGTTCTTTTTCTTTGTTACCTTCCTACACTCTTAATTTTATGAATCGAATTTCGATTCTCCCCTCTTCAGATTGTTTTGTTGAGCTTAGGATGAAGCCACTTTTCTAGAGGGTCTGAATGTACCTTTTAGGAAGAAGCCTTCTACCTATTATGTATTTTTAGTCCAACAGAGTGTCTTCACTTTTGCTTTATTTTGCCTTTTCATTCATCTCTCTCTTTACCATTGGATCAAGTTTTGGCCCTCTACTTTTAAAGTCAGGATCTTGTACTTTACAATTTTTCTCTTATATTATTGGGATTACTTATACTTTTTTGGCCTCAGATGCTCTCTCAGAGGCCAGATAATTTTTTTTCAGGCCTCCTTATGTTTGCAGTCATGTTAGTTAGCTAGATTACATTCAACGTAGTTTATGCTTGCGTCTGACAGGAAAACCAAGTTAGCTTTTCCTCTGTTTGTCATTGAACTAGTGCCATGAATTTTGATTGGTATAGAGATAACAAGATAGATAGCCTCAGAGGTGAGATGGACCTCTATGATACTAGGCAAGTCACTAAAACTCTGTAGGCCTCAGTTTCCTTGTCAGTAAAATGGGGATAATAACAGTTCCTACTACATAGAATTGTTATGAAAATTAAATAAGAATGTAATTAATTCTGAATTAATATGGGTTGAATATTTATTACATAGTAAGTGTTCAGTAAGTGCTAGCTTTAATTACTGTGATTACTTTTTCTAGGTTGTAAGCTTCTTGAAATTGTGAACAATGCATATGTCAAATGTTATTAAGCAGCTAGTACTTAACACAAGTTTATTATTATCCATTTATGTGATAGTTACATTTAGTGATAAGGATGCCAGAAAAAGAAACACATTGAAATTAAGATTATTGCATTTGCCTGTGTGCAGTGGCTCATTCCTGTAATCCCAGCACTTTGGGAGGCCAACGTGGGAGGATTGCTTGAGCCCAGGAGTTCAAGACCAGCCTGGGCAACAAAGCAAGACCTCATCTCTATTATTAAAAAAATAAATAAATAAAAATAAAAAAGCCTATTGCATTTGATTCTGGTTTCACTATGTTACACTTCATTTTACTTCCTTCAAGTTGATGAGTTACACTTGTGCAGTTTTTTCTGTCCTAATGTGATTTTAACATTTTTCTTGAAAAATATTACTCATTTCTGAAAGTTCTTTTGTCTTTTTTTTTTTTTTTTTTTGCTGGAATTCAAACTCAAATTCCACCAGTATTTTTAAGTGTTGTCTATGTGTCTGGCTCTATGCTAGGTGCTTGATATACCTAGATGTTATCTCCTTTTCATAGATGAAACAAAAGCAAGGTTCAGAGAATCCAAGTGAATGGTTCAAGATCATACAATTAGTAAGTAGCAGCTGAAAGAATGACAAATAAGTCTTAACCATAAACCAGTGAGAGAGAACTTCAGGAGCAATATGGCCAAATAGTATGCAAGAATATGCAGAAAGAGCTGTTTGTTTTCCTTCAAAAAAAGGGTGGGGAAGAGATCAGGGAAGTCTTTGTGAAGGAGATGAAATTTAATCTACTAGGTGGACAGTCAATCAATAAATAATTGGAGTTGACTAATGTGGAAAAATATTGTTCCTTTTATTTCCTCTGTTCTTAGTTATGTATAGTGGTTTATGTTTATGGTATATAAATGCAAAGTAAATAAATTGCTATTAAATAAGAGATTAAATAGTAAACATGAGAGAAAAGTGTTCTATTTTGTGATATGCAGGTTATGAATATATAAACAGGCTTTCAAAATATAATGAAGGACTAATGGAAGAAGACCCATTGTCAAGGTTTTCTGTGACAGTGCATGCGTCCTTTCACCAAGTTTAGTCACAGCTTTCATAATATAATACTAATCCTTGAAATGCTTGGTAAATATGCCAATTCTGGGTGCAAATGAATCCTCCACTTCTGAAGGCTTGGTGTGGACTCCGATTTAGGTCTCCAATACATGTCCAGTGATTTTTGGTGCCCTTTTGGGAAATACACCACTTGGCATGATCCTGATAAGAACTGAAATAAGAGTGTCGTGATAACTTAATTGCTTTGATATTGTAGACATGGTAAGGAAAGGAGCAGTTTGAAGGAAGCTCTTGTCTTTTTCGCTGCCAGGTTTCTGTTAACAAGTGTGTCTTCAGCTGTTGAGCCATCCAGGCTGCAAAGATGTCTAGGGTTTAGGAGAAGAAAGATAGTGAGGTTGGTATTTACACTTAGATTAGTCCCTGAAAATATATTCTGGAATGGAAATCATCATTCACCCGTGATATGTGTATGTCACAAGCACAACAATAACAACATAATTGAGATAGTGGTTGAGAAAACATTTTGTAAATGCTGAAGTGATGTGCAAATGAAAGTTATAATCATCATTACTATGATAATGCTGGTGTTTGCAAACATCTTCTGTTCTATAAAACAAATTAAGCAATATAGGTCTTTGTCCTGGAAAGACCTTTGGAAAAAATTAGGCTAGAGAAGGAATCAGGGCCAGTTTCTAGGGATCTTTGTAAATCATGCCAAAATGTTTGGATTTTCCTGAAATCAATGGAGAGTTTTTAAAGAAACGTTAGTAAAGAATTAATAGAAACTGGCTTATGATCATAAGTATCAGTTGAGAGGCAATGGGCAGGATGAATTGGGAAGGATGGGTTAGAAACAAGAAAGGAAAAACATAAGGTTGTCACAATAACTGTGTCAATAAACACAGGTGTGACCCATGGCAGTGGCGGAGAGTTTGGAGAAGATACAATAAATGTGAGAGTTATTAAGGATCTGGAACTGACTGAATTTGATGGTTTGGTAGAGGAGTGAGAAAAAGAAGAGATGGAGAATGACTGTGTAGAAAAAGAAGAGATGGAGAGTGACTATGTATACTAAAAGAAGAGATGGTTGACTATGTAGAATACAAGAAAAAGTAGGTTTGTGGGGGATGATGATGAGGTGAGTTTGGCATGTTGAACTTTGTGTGGCTGTACCACCTTCAAGTAGAAGTGTCTCACTTGCTGTTAAATAACTCAGTCAGTATAGAGGTCTGGGGTAGAGATCTAGACTTAAGAATCATTGGAGGGCTTGCTGGAATTGCCCAGCATGGGTATGTAGAATGAGATAAGGAAAGATGGGGGCCACATGGCAACTCAGTCACCTAAAGAGTAGTCACAGGAAGACCTGGCAGAAGAAACTTAGAAGTGGGAGGAAGACTGGGGGTTGTGTATTCCCTAAAACCAGTGAAGGTGAGAGTTTCAAAAAGGAAAGAATTTCAACAGTGCCACATTCTGCAAAGAGTATCTCTGTCCTTTCAAGTTTGAGATCTCTAGTGCCTAACACAGGGCTTGGCTAATAGTAGGCATTCAGTAAATTTTATTCAATATATGAAGGAAGGAAGCAAATAAGCAAGGAAAACAGTGAGGTCATCTAAGACAGCCATTGGTGCTTGGGGAGAGATTCCAGTGTCTATGGACAGAAGTAAGACTGCAGTGAAGGAACACTGAGCAAGTGAAGGCCCTGATGAGTTTTTAAAAAAATAAATCTGAAAGAGAAGGAAAAATAGAGCTAGAGATGCTTTAGAGTTGAGGGAGGGTTTTTAGGCATGTTTGTATATTATGAGGAAGGAGCCTGGTAGTGGGAAAGCTAAAATGGAACAGGGAGAACAGATCTGGTATGCTGAGGCTGGGATAGGTTTCAGAGCACAGGGGGTGCATCGCTTCTTTGGGGATGGGGGAAAACCCTGCAAAAAGGAAGGAGAACAGATAAGACTGTTGGAGAGATGGGGTTGCCACATTGAAGTGGTTTCTCCCTACATGATTTTTGTTCTATTTCTGAAGGAGAAAAGGAAGCTATAAGTGAGGGGGCAGAGTAGTGTAAAGGGCTTGAGAGTAAGGAAGGCTTAAAATAACTGCTCAGAGAATGGAAGAAATGGAGATAGCTATGGCCTCATGCCAAGCAGAGGCTGGAGACTGTGAGTTTTCACTGGCCCTTGGTTGGATGGTTGTGAGACGCTTTTGTGGTTGGCTCAGTAACCTGGCTATTCAAGTATAACAGGCTAATGTTGAAACTCATCCTTGACTTTCCTTTTTCCTTTCCTCTTTGCTTCCTTTTTTCATCTCTCTTTCCTTGAATACTCAGAATATTTCTCTAAGCTATCCCTAATGAGTTCAACAGCAGAGTTATATAGCCTGTTGTTTGATGATGGTCTTTCATACCGTCAAGAAAAGAATCAGACTTTGCAAAATGGAGGAATTTTTGTCCCTGGGCTGACTGAAGTGTGGTGAGGAGCCTGCTGGGACTCTCTGATGAGCTTGCCCTGGTACACAGCTGGGGCATGTGAATGAGCTCCTGGTGAAAGGTGGCCGGAATGAAACAGCTATAGACATTTGGGTTGCAGACCAAGAGCTGAGAATCTGAATCAAGAAACAATAAAAAAAAAAGTTGAAAATTAAGACACAAATGGAAATGCCTGCTGATATTATAGATCCTGTTGTGGATTAAAAAACAAAACAACACAAAAACAAAGGCATTTCTTTCTTCAAACCAATAGCCTTCAAATAACTTTTGGTTAAAATAACTGACACCTGTTAAGCACTTCCTAGTTTCCAGACATGGTTCTACAAGTTTTACATGGATTTACTCATTTAATCCTCACAGCAACCATATTATCAAGTAAATTCTGTTGTTATCATTATCTTTACTTTGTAGATGAACTAACTGAAAATTTACGTCATATACCCAAAATTATAAAGTTTGTAATTGATAAAATTGATATTCAAACCCAGGTAATCTAGCCTTGTAGACCATATATTTTTTCTTCTAAATGTACATATACAAATAGAAAAGTTGAGAACTCCGTGTAGCAATGCAACAGCTTCAAGAATAACCAGCTCCTCAGTGTGTATGCCTGATCTCTGTGATATTCAGCTCTCTAATCATTACATGATTTCAATTAGTGAGACTAGAGCTTGACTTGGGTGAGGAGCTCAGTAATCCTTGCTGTAAGATGGAACTTGATAAAAAACATTTTCTAAACCTCCTGTATCTATAGGCAAGTTGCTTATCACTACTATTTAGCTACTAACCTGTTCCTACTTCTTCTTTCCCACCACAGTTTGCCAAATCTAAGTATTTTTGGCTGAGCTTGAAATCTTAAAGGAAGATTATCTGGCTCTGAAGTGTCATGTTGGTAGCCTACAAGGAACACGTGGCCTGGAAAACTTTTAAAAAAGTAAGATTGAGCTCATATTTAGAAATCAGTTTTCTTCTCTCTCTCTCTTTCTCACACACACCCTAGGTTTCTGGTACTTCATGAGAAATATGGAGATCCATAATCACTGGACTTGTATTCCTGTAGAGCCACAGCATGATGGAGCTGAGGCTTTGAGGGAAGCTAGGCGAGAATCAACACCATAGTTTGTCACTGTCCCCACTTCTCACATAACATCTGTCTGTTTCACTCATATATGTCATCTACCAGCCACCTGGATACATTTGAAACTACTGCCCTCATCAAGTTCAACAACTGCAGTGGTAGAGTAAGAGCCAGAGCCCAGTAAGTGAGCCTGCCCAAGACCTCACCATGGCAAAGCCAGCATTAGAATCTAGGTATCAGAGTATGAACAGATTAACAAATGAGGTGACACATTTATGAACATTATTTCCAAATGCTTTCTCCAACATTGTTATCTCTTTTTTTTCTCACATACTGTAGTTTTACCTATTGCCTTATACTGGTTGTACTTGAAAGTTATGCAGATGCCACTTTGTCCATTTCGTCTCCCTGTGGGTGGATAATCATAGCCTTCTTCCGGAATTGGAGGAAACTGAGGAATAGAATGAATCAGCCAGAACCCTTGGACTCTGTTCCACAGCAGTAAACCTACCAAAGATACATTTAACAAAGATAAATCAGAAAAACAAAGTTTCTTTTAAAATAGCGTTCAAAGTGGCAACATTTAAGCCCATTTATGCTTCAGGCTGGTGTTTTATTAAGTTAATAATCACAAGGATCATGCTTATTTTTCAAAGATTTCAACTACAATTCTGGCACATATCACATTGCCTGATTACTGATAAAAAGCCGTCACAAAAAGGGAACCAAGGTAGCCATCCTACGAAAAGTTAAGAGGAAATTCATGTCGAAATCACAAGGAAAATTTGTTTTGGCAGAATACAAATTTGCTCAACTGGAATTTGACCTTGTTAAACTATACAGTCACCTGGCAAGATTTAGATAGTGTCTTCACTGCTAAGCAGCTAGGCTGTTTTCAAAAGCCAACTAAAAAACAGAGTTGAAAGAGAAAATATCAAATGAAGAAATGTACTTGCAATAATTTGTTAGAAGAAACTACTGCCCATTTATTGGCAGAAGAAGTCACCATTTCTACAAGCCCAGTAAAAGAAGCAAAGAGAGAGAGAAAAAAAGGAAGCTATGCTAAAGCATCCAAGTTAATAACATTTGTAAAACTCCCTAGAGCAAAATAAATAACATGAAAGCCAATAAGGAAGAAAATAGAAAGATTTTTATAATTTTGTGACATGGCAGAAAGAACTCTGTAAAACAGATGTCTATGACTATTTCTGTGTTTATAAATTTATCAGGATAGGTTTGGTATGATAGCTAGACTTTCCAGTTTGCATATGACTATGCAAACATAAGATTCACTCATGTTTGCCTAATTGTTAGAGTAAAAACTAAATTCCTTCTAGTTGTTTTTTTTTCAAAGAGCATATTTTAAGAAAGCATACTGTTGTTCTTCAGGTGGAAATAGAATCAATACCTGTGTCAAGGTGGAAAACATTGAAAGTTCTGTTACGTAACAGAACTGGATGACCTTCAAGAGTTCTCCTCTGCGCAGAAAAGTGTGCCAATTTGCTGGAATCCTATCCTCCTGGTACGAATGCCATAGGATATTAGGGCATCTGTTGGCCAAGAGAACCTTTCCACTTGATCTTGCGCCCTCCTCCCTTTACATCGATTTCCCCAAACTCTTGTGGCAGCTAGCAGGGTAGAGTAGAAATAGTGTGGGAGATTGTTGGAGGAGAAGTTGAAGAATGTAGGATGTTATGAAAATTGTTGGGTTCCCTGTAAATATGGCATTCAGGAGAGCAACTTTGCTAAATAAAAAGTTTTCAATGTTCCTGACCTTTGTCAGCCATTACAAACCATATTCTAAATCAGAGGCTGCAAACTGGCTTCCCCTGAGCCAAATCCAGCCTATGAATACATTTTATTAGGCTCGCAGAATGTTTTTTAAACTTTGAATTTAGTACCAACATTTAAAAACTGGGGAGGTTTTCCACAAATATTAATTTACAACATCTCCGGGAAAATTGTGTCCCTATCAGGCAAGTTGAGTAGTAAGTGCCTCCTTTCACTTGCTGACATCATCTGCCTGCTCCCTGAAGGCATTTGAATTTGGAACCTTCTGAATACTTGTTGCCATGGAAAGTTATTTATGACATATTAAATTGGAAAAAGGTTGAAAAATAGTCATTACAGTAGTTTTGTAAAAATGTTTTAAAATACATATTTTAGAAAAAGTGGAAAGGATTAAATATGGTTTATCTAATTGGTATTAGGATTATATATTTTTTGTTTACCTGTATTTTGAATTTTCCTATAGTGTACAAACACATATGCAAAGTTTATAAGTAGAAAAATTGTAAAAGTATAATCAAAATTACTATATTTGGTAATATAAATAACATGATAAAAATTAATATATAACTATTTAAAACAGTTTTTCAAAAATGTTTATTTCCAAGGGAACTATATATTAAGAAGGGTTCATTTTACTCTATATAAATTATACCTCAATAACTCTGACTAAAATGTTTTAATGCATATATGCTATATGCACATATACATATATACATATGTATGTGCATATATATATACAAAATTGCTGGTGTTTGTGTGTCCTCAGTATCAGTACCTGGATTCCTGCTGCAAACCATATATTTTAAAATATGTTAAGAAATAAAATGGGATTCCTAAAAATGGGGTTGCCAAGTCAAATTATACAATTATATTATAACCTGTGATACAGAAATTATACATTTCAATGACTCAAATAAACTATTAAGAAGAAAAGCTATCTGTTTAGTATGGAATATAAGAATATTCAAGATGAAATGTTTTTAAAAAATGTTAATTTCCAATAGAAAAGAGAAACCAAGAATCGTTGTCATACCTTTGGTGTGTCCATACTTCCTGCTGTAATTCACAGATTTAGGGACTCCATCATTGTATATTAGATAGGCTGTGTTGTTACTCTGCAGGAATATATTAGTTATAATGGCATAAATCTTCCATTTACAAACTCTCACAACGTTTCTACCAGCTACCCAGCCTGCAATACATCGCTTTCATTAATACACTGAGAAGTCATCTATTCCCCTAATAGGCAGCTTCCCCATCAATATGAAGCCTGTGACATGTAAAACAGGGGAAAGGAAGTTCATTTTTAACTATGCATGATTTTTACTCATGTGACAGGAGCCCTATGCATTGTGATCTGGGTGTGAGGGCAATGTTCCTATTTCTCTTGGTTGTTTTGGAGCCAAGTTTCTGATTAAGCAACCAGTGTATAATAAAGGAGTACTGAATTATTTGTTCAGGAAATGAAGTAGGAACAACCAACCAAGGATTGCATCTGAGGTTTTTTCCGTTGGTATCATAGGCACAGTGCAGAACCGGCTGTCAGGATCTGATTTCCTCTGCCCACTTTGTGCTTCACTTCACTGCTGGGTAGTAGCTTTGTGTTTAATCAGGATTCCTCATTATCTGCTCTCCCTTCCTCTCGTTATGGGAGGATTTTTCTGCAATCCATTTTTCAGTGTCACTTCACCTTTCCAACTTGATATTTCCCTGCTTTAAAAAGTGGTGAAATTTACTGTGTGATATTGGATTTCCTCTGTTGAGGCAAAATATGAGTCAATTTTCAAACAGCCAAATCTTAGAGCCAAAATAAAGCTATTATTTCAATAGTCTCTATTTGTCATGTTTTAGAAGCTTGCTAATATTTGTTCTGGATGGTTCCATTTAATTTGTGTGATGATACAGTGGCTTTTATTGAAGCCAATAATGTTGATATTAAAAAAATCTCAGTGACATAATTAAAAGCAGGAAAGGATAACGCATCTCCTTTAAAAAGGCCCTTGCTTTTTTCTTTGAAAACAAAGTCAATAAAGAAGTCTCTCACAGTTGCTTAATTATTTGATGCAATACAAAAATAATGTTAAATGCACAACATAGGCTGTTGTAGCATTCTTGTCTACTGTGTTTAGGAATACCCTGAAAAGTAAGCTGTTTTCTTACCTTCATTTATCATAATTGATCATAGCTACTGAATGGCATTCATATCATCCTCTGGATAACCCTGAAGCGTTAGTTACTCTATGAACCTGCATTGAATGTGGTAATGAGGACATTTGTGTGCCTTTGGGGTACAGCATGGAGGGATTCTGGGATGATCCAGTGAGGAATTTATTCTTTATGATAAATGAAGTTTATTATTCTAACTGCGTGTAGCAGCCAGTTGAGGTTAAGTGGGTTGTAGCCTTAGTGAGAAGAGAGGCTATTGATAAAGGGAAAAGACTATGGACTTAAGAATAGGTAGATGTAGGCATGAGCCTTTGAATAGCTTTATTCCTTTAACCCATTTGGCATTGTTTTGACTATTGAGTATAGAATAAGAGTGGTACAGTCTCTGCCCTCTGTCTAGCAGAAAATATAGAGAGACAAGTATAGGTAATATAGTTTGATAAATGTTTATGAAGGTGCATGGAAGATTCTTATTTGTAAAGGCAAGAGAAGGGAAACAATTCTAAATGTAACCCAACTATTGGACTTGGTCACCTTAACATTTGAAATTTAAAACCACTTCGTCTAATCTTGCATTTCACTCTCTGTGAGAAGTTCAATTCCAGTCAGGGGGTGGAGGAGTAATATTCTCACAGTCAGTTGTGGCACATAATTCTAGCTTCTAAAGGATACTGAGTCTCACTTGGATATCACCCACTGCTGTTGCTCTCTTCTTTTGGCTCGATGCCAATCAGGCATGGAAATCACTCCCTTTACTGTCATTTCCCCCCCAGAACCAATCACTCAAGACATTGCATGTGAGCCAGTTTTACTAAAGATAAGAAATATTGAATGGTTTTACATCACCATGAGGCCTTACCCCAGTCTCTTCCCATGTTTATTGTGCTTTTTAATTCACGGTTTCTTTCCATCTCTTTTTCGTTTAGCAGAGAAGTTTAACTGTATCTCCCTGCTAGGGTGTGGGGCTACCTTTGCACCTCCAAAGATCATTATTGTATTCAACCAAGCAAAGAGCTATCTACTCCAACTAAGGTAATGACAGAGGCTTTACAATGTCACTCTTTCCTTCTTCCTCCCCTAGCAGTCTCAGCATTTTTAGAGAAATTAAAAAGCAAATAGAGAAAAGTCATTATGTATTTTCATATGAAATTTACACTGAGTGTGTCTGCCTTTCTTGCTTCCCCTTCTATTTTCCTCACCTCTTCCGTCTCTGCCCCCCGAGACAGCAAGACCAGCTCCTCCCCTTCTTCCTTCTCCTCAGCCAACTTAACAGGAAGATGACAAGGATGAAGATGTTTATGATGATCCATTTCCCTTAGTGAAGAGTAAATATATTCTCTCTTCCTTAATAATTTTCTTTATAACATTTTCCTTTCTCTAGCTTACTTCATTGTAAGAATACAGTATATAAGATATATAACACACAAAATATATGTTAATCAACTATTGATGTTATCAGTAAGGCATCCAGACAAACAGTAGGCTATTAGTAGATAAATTTTCAGGAAGTCAAAACTTACACATAAATTTTTGACTGCATGAGGGCTGGTCCCCCAACCCCAGCATGGTTCAAGGGTTACCTGTCATTTGTTTATTCAAAGCAGGATTGTTGAGACAATTTTAAAAAGCATCTGGAAAAGTGCTTGGCATATCACATGTTCTCAAACAGCCTACAGATAAGTTTTAACTTTGTAACTTGGCTCTGAAGTCTGGTCTTAATGGCAGGTAAATAACATGAATATTACCACACACAATGACAGTTCCCTGTACATTTTGAGTAAATAATCAGATACACATGTGTAGTAATGCTAGAGGCTAAAACAGTGTTGTTGTGGGCATTAAATTACTTGACATATGTAAAGGCTCAGCGTACAGTCCAGCATATTATAGGAACAGAGTCATGTTATATATTCAGTTCTCTATAAGTTATTGTTAGGAAATGCTTACATGAGTATAACTGGATATTAATCATGCCTTGATTTTACTTGTCACCCCTGGTTGGAAAGCAGCATCTTGAAACTAAGCAACAGACGGTGCCTGGAATATTGGGAGCATGCCCACATTAAGCCAGCAGGCCTACTTACCTGTGTCTCTTTGACTGGCTAGCTCATTGCCTGATAAAGTCCAGATACAGCAGGGATAATCCAGGCAAGTTAGTTCTAGAGCCTTGAACTAGAGTCCTAGTTTTCAATATATCGTTTTGAAAACAATGACTTAAAAGGTGTATCAAGTAGAACCCTTTACTGAGCTCACCACCACTGATCAGCACCATAACATAAACAACCCATAACTCATGGCATGTTAATCACAGATCGGTATTGCTCTGTAGCAGCAGAGGCTCCTCTCCCTATCTCTATTAGATGAATAAGCAAACTGACAGACATTGTGGCAGCCAGAAGACTTCAATATACAATTAGTTCATACCTTGCCCAGCGATACCACTGGACATGGTGCCAAGTGAATTTGGCATTGCTGTAGACTACAATGACATGTTTCTTAAGGTCTTAGATTGACTCAGATAATTGTCTTGAGCTGGTTCTGAGCTAGCTTACTTCAAGGTGCTAGGAGTGGGAGTTGGATGGGTGAACAGAAAAACTCTGTTGAAGGCTTTGGATTCAGCTCTATGCATTTTATATTATTCAAGTGAACAACTGAATAATAACATACCTTGGCGGCATATGCTTCATATAGCTGTTGTAATGTCCTTCCCAAAACACTCTTGGTGGTATTCATTAGTTGCTCACTCTTCCTCCAGCTTCTAGTTGTAGAGTCTAAGTACAGGTATTCTAACCCAGTCTCTTCACTTTCCTTGTTTTGTCTTTTAGGTAACTTATAAAAGATAAACCTAACAGACAAAATAATTATGAATTACTAACATTTATTGACTGCTTTCCTGTGGCAGTAGCTGTGTTACACACTTTAATATATCTCTCACATTTCATGGAAGGCCTCTAAGGAAAGGGATTTGCTCAAGTTCTCTGCCCCTTTCTTCACCCTTATCTTTGCTCCTCTCCAAAGAAGAAAATAAAAACCTGATTAGCTATATTCTAAGACCTTGGTTATCCTGGTGGGTGGAGTCCCTGAACTGGAAGTTCACATACATTGAGAGTTGCTTTCTCTGTTGCTTCCATGGTCCATATGGCTACAGTGGGGAGTAGGCCAAGACTCAGACCATGCAGTTGGCTGACTGGGTATGAGATTTGGGTTTGGGCTTCAGAAGAGGTAGAAGGTACTTTGAGCCTCTGTTCTAAGCTGCATTCTTCAGCTCAGTTTATCAGAAAACTCTTTCTTGGTGATTCAGGGCCAAAACCAAGTAATTAAGTAGGCACTTTCCTTCCTTTACTATTTGTTTATCTCCCTTGGCTATCTCACAGGGAGGAGAGGTAGCTCCGCCAAGGTAGTATTAAGGCGTTATTGGATTACCTAGCTCAGGGTTTCTCAATGTGCTCTATTCACATTTTCAGCTAGATCATTCTTTGTTGTGGGAGCTCTCCTGTGCATTGTAGGATCCCTGCCCTCTACCTGTTAGATGCCAGATGCACTGCCAAGTTGTGACAATCAAAGTTATCTCCAGACATTATCAAAAGTCCTCTGAGGGCAAAATTACCCTTGGTTGAGAACCACCTATGTAGCCAAATGCTTTCTAATAGCATGAACCCCACCATTAACTCCTAAACACTCACAGTGCACCAACCATTATAATACACACACTATTACCATACCACAGTGTCACAAGCCCGTAAAAGCTGCACACTTCACTTGGTCCCCTTTGGTCTTATACTTTATTTAAGTGAACTCTTTCCTGCCCTGCTATGCTTTCTTACTCACAGGGTCAGGTCCTCACATGTGGCAAGAAACATGAAACTATTCTTTGGTGCTGACTTGATGGTCTCTTTCCTTGCCTTTCTCAGTAGATTTTAGCAGCTTGGCAACAAGTGCCTATATTCTCTTTAACAGACATTGCTAAGCAATATGTCCATTCACTTGTGGCAAAAATGATTTACCATATCAATCACAATTTGGTGACACACCAGTGAAGGGTTTGTGAACTATCAGTGTGCCATGGCACACCAGTTGAGAGCTAGTACTTTTAAACATTTTTCCAGGGTGACCACCTCTAATTATGTACTCAAGAGTCATGAATCTGTTTCTAGCACAGACCTCTCTGCTGAGGTCCAGAGAAACCGAAACGCAAAGATGTCCCAGAAACCTCCAACTCTATATTTTTGAAACCAAGTTTATAATATTTTGCTCCAAATCTGCTCATCCCACACTATTAGGGAACATATTGATGCAGTCCAAGAAGCAGAAACCTAAAATTATTTCTTAACATCTCCCCTTCTCCTACCTGCCGCAGCCCGTCTACCACCAAGTCTTCTCAGCATGTCTTTCTTTCTATTCCCACAACCACTTCTTTAACTGAGGTGCACACCTCTTCTCACCTATAATTCTGTGAAAATGCTCCTGGGCTCTGCGAATCTAGGCTGCTCCCCATCTAGCCAAGCCTCACAATACTGCCAGTGGGCTTCCTAAAATGCAAATCTGACCATTCACACCCCTGCTTGAAGTCTTACAGTAGCTCCCTTTCAATGTCAAGTTCAAACCTTGTAGCTCAGCACACAGACCCCCTTGCCCTCCCCACCTCTCTAACCCCAACTCTGGTCATCTTCCTGTATTCTCCTGAAGTTCCAGACATCCCAAACTAGTAGCAACTCCCAACTTTCCATGTTGCTTCTTGCCTCTTTACCTTCTCATTCATTGGCCTGAGATACCCTTGCATATCCATTCTTTTTCTAGCTACTTCATAATTGTTCTTAAAACTTAGCTCAAAAACTATGTCCTCAGAGAAGCTTTCTAGGCTCTCTGCTCCCCAGTGTTCCACTTATGCCCTTACCACATAACTGTGAGGTCATCAAGAGTAGGAACCATATTTTGTCCATATTTTTATTTTCGAAACTTCACACAGAGCTCGGTTACTGCTGGAAGACGGACTACTTGCCTTGAGTATATCAGTGTTCTCTAGCCTGAAGTTTACACAAAAAGCTTGACACCAACCGTGATGGCAAACTTAAATATCCCAATTAAAGAGTGAAAAAGTGATTAAAGCTTTAGGAATACCCATGACTATAATGCAACACAGTATTTAATGTCTTTGACACTGTTCAACAGGCCAGTGACCTACGTCCCACTCACGGCAACAGCTGACTGTGCTGCCAAACATATCGAGGTTAGGCAAACAGTGCTGCGTGTGACCAGGTGCCCTTCTCCTTCTCAAAAGGAGAAGTGCATGCTCCATTTTCAAAAAAAGTAATCTGCCTTCTCTACTCTGTCAGTCTTTAAAAGGATGTTGGATGTGTTCTGTTAGGAAAAGCCATGATGTAATTAAAAGAAATTGCCAGCTGACAGAAGCTGTCAGCTCAATCCCATTTCTGTGGCTACCACCCTTGCCTGGCTGAGAAGAGTGAATCAGGCCCAAGAGGGGCTGCTCAGCTCTTTCTCAGGGGAAACTCCCACACTCAGAAGCCTACCCCTGCCTGGGAGTTTGGCCCATTTGCACACTTTAACTTCCTTTATTTGTAAAGGGAGGAAAGAGAATGGACATTCCCCTTAGGAACTTCTCAGTGAGCCAGGCTGACTCCTATACTGAGGCTGTTTGCATGCAGCAATCCTTTCATTTAATTTACCTACCAGTCCACAGCTTTCCCTTCTTCATTTCTGCATGAAATTGTTGCTGTCCCCAGCACCCCAAAGAGGCCAAGGAAGAGCAAAGCAAAAGATGTTCTTAGAAGTCTTGCCATCATTTTCTGTTTCATTTATTTCATGCCACAGCAGAACACTTTCTCCATAGATTGTGGAATCTGAGTTTCAAGGTGCTCTCAGGCTATGCTGGTTCTGACGTTTGATTCCATTTACCTGTTCTGTTCGCTGTTCGGGGCATTTTCAGAATGGGATGGATCCCATGTAATTGTGCGATTCTGTCACAACATGCCAGCGTGACTCCAATGCCTTTGTGCTGAATTGTTAACTGCTTTGCAAAGTCATCAGAAAGTTCTGCAGAAAAAAAGGGAAATATAGTTAACTCTTTGGAGTGAACATTGTGTTGTATAAAATTCAGTGGGCAGGGGAACTTCATTTTAATAAATAGATGTTAAATTAAACATATTTCATGTCTTCCCCTCCTGATTGACTCAATGAATGAGAGCAAATGCATGTGGTTCATACGTTAAACAGAAATGATAAAACCTTATGTCTTAGTAATAATTAGGATCTGACACTTATAATAAATTTCTTTCTTAAGGAACCAGTTGCTAAGCAGTACTTTAGAGGGTTTCTACAAAGTAACTGTAAATTTAACTATTTTACCAAAGATGTTTACATATTCTCTCTACCTCCCTGGTTTTAGCCACTCAGTGTGCTTTACTTTAAGAGGCTTTGGTGTCCATTTAGCTGCTATGCAATAGGTAAACATATTGATCACCCACTCTTCAGGTTAATAAAAAGTGTTACAAACATCTGTTTGCCCAAACTATGCTTTCTCATTCTTGAAGCTGAACCTGAAGTGGAAAACCAAGAGAAAATGGCCCACTACCATAACAACTATAAAAAGGTCAGACCAATTTCTTTGTAAAGTAGGGAAGGAGTATATAGACATATGAAAATAATTTATTTAATGCCTACTTTTGAATCAATTATTAAAATTGCTATTATAATCAATAGCAGTTTACCTCATGCCTAGAAATAATGCTGCCCCTAATCTGTCTCTCTGATAATCACAATGATAACTATAATAGCTCCAGATCAGAGGATCCAGACCAGACTGAACCCTTATAAATCAGATTACCTGTATGGTTGTACTAGAACTGTTCACAATTCTCAGGATTCATAGAAAAGGGGAGGTTTTATGTCTCTCTATTTCTCCTAAGACAGAGTTTTGGGAGGAGGGCTCTGGACCACTTGCCCAATTACCTGTGGTGCCTGCAACAAAGGCAGAATTCTAGGCCTTATTGCAAACCTGCTACATCAGATTCTTCCAATTGGACTCAGGAATCTATATTTTTGATAAGCTTATGGGTGTTGCTGGTGTACCCTACATTTTGAAACTCACTGCCACGAGGCCAAGACTTGCTATATTTGGCAGGTTCACACTTTTCTGCAGGGAGCAGACTAAATTGGTTAAATGAAGAAATATTTTCCTTACCCATTCTTCGATGGATATTATTATTATTATTGAGACAAAGTTTCACTCTTATTACCCAGGCTGGAGTATACTCATCTTGGCCTTGGAATCCGTCCACCTTGGCCTCCCAAAGTGCTGGGATTACAGACATGAGTGACTGCACCTGGCCTCATTTTGTTTTATATATGTTCTTCTTGTGTTCAGAAAAAAAGGATTTCAACAACCCCAACAGTTTTGTCAATTTTTAAAAAATTACTAGCTGGGTGTAGTGGCTTATGCCTGCAATCCCAACACTTTGGCATGCCAAGGCAGGAGGATTGCTTGAGCCCAGGAGTTCATGACCAGCCTGGGCAACATAGCAGGACCTTATCTCTCTACATACAATTAAAAAGAAATTAGCTGGGCATAGTGGCGCACACTTGTAGTCCCAGCTACTCAGGAGGCTGAGGTGGGAGGATTGCTTGAGCCCAGGAAGTTGAGCTGCAGTGGGCCATGATGCTGCCACTGCACTTCAGCCTGGGTGACAGAGCAAGAATGTCTCAAAAAATGTGTGTGTGTGTGTGTGTGTGTGTGTGTGTGTGTGTGTGTGTGTGTACAGAGAGAGAGAGAGAGAGAGAGAGACATTTACTCTTCTCTGTGAAAGTAAAAATAGGAGATGGAGTCTCACTCTGTCACCTAGGCTGGAATGCAGTGGCGTGATCTCAGCTCATTGCAACCTCTGCCTCCCACGTTCAAGCAATTCCCAAGTAGCTGGGATTACAGGTTTCCACCATCATGCCAGGCTAATTTTGTATTTGTGGTAGAGATGGGGTTACGCCATGTTGACCAGACTGGTCTCAAACTTCTGACCTCAGATAATCTGCCTGCCTCAGCTTCCCAAAGTGCTGAGATTACAGATGTGAGTCACTGCAACTGGCCAAAATAATTTTATTTATTTACTTATTTATTTATCTTGTGAGACTTTTTGGTATATAAAAGATACATACCAGGAATAGGATTCACTGATGTATTTAGACAATGTAAGCAACTTGTTTTCAGTCATGTAGGGCTAAAGAGAGTTTGTTGAATAGGATTTAAAATTATTCCTATTTTCTTCTCCTTATTACACACTTAGCACAGTGCCTGGTAATAGTAAATGATTCATAAATGTTAGCTAAGATGATTCTTACTACAACCTGAGCTTTTCCTGTAAGACGGTTGGGGGACATCTGTATTAGAATGACATTTGCTAAATCCAATTTTATTTCAGGGTCTGGAAAGACACCGTTAAGTTGGTTTCTTTCAGATGTCACTTTCAATAAACTTCCTTATCTCCCATTGTTGCTAACCTGATCATGATTGTCAGTCAACAACCTTTCTTACACAATTACTGCTGTGACTAACACTGTATCAGTCTTTGAAGACCTTCAGGGATTTCAACATTACCTAAACCCCAGGGTCCAGTGTGTTTCAGTTTTTACTAAAAACAGCAAAGTAATTTGGAAACAAACTTATGAATTTGGTGGATGAAGAAAATGCAAACTGTACAGAATGTTTTTCATAATATTATCTGCTTTTGAAGCCAAAGTAGTATAATATTATGTAAATACCATAGTTCCTTCATAATCTGATTGCTTCTAAAAACGGTGGAAAATGCCCTCATTGTAACTTGGTCAAGTACTATATCGTGTACAAGTAAGAATTCTTAGCTAGGTAATGGCTTTTACTTTCATGATTGAAGTTTTGTAGTCACCCATTTATTCTGGAAAATCTCAATCTTGAGCTCGTCAAATAGTGCCTCTTCCACGTTCTCTTTATTATGTATTTCGAGAACATTTTATATCTTGTTCATATATTCTAGCTCCTTGTATGTCTGCATTAATTCTTATGATTATTTATTTGGACTGTCTTACAGTTCTCTAATTCTCTTTGGCAGCATTAATCTGTTACTTAATCTATCTCTTCCAAATAACTAATTCTTTTAAAAAATATTTTTTAAAATCTTTATTTTTTATTTGTACATTGGCAAATTATACTTATATATATTTTACTTCTTTTTGAGTTATGTTTAATGTTTCTTAATTCACTTAATGCATTTTTACAAGTTCTATTGTTTATTTTTTCAAATTTACTTTGTCTTTCATATGGTTTTGTTTCTTGTTCATACACCCAATCTTCTCTTCTATTTCTGTAAAAATATTAAATATATTATATTTTTATATCTTATTCAAATGCCTGAAGTTTTTGCAGATCAGGCTTTTCTATTTGTTATTTCTGAAGCTCTTTCTCATAATACCTTGGTATTGTGTGTACTTTAGATTTTTGGTTATGAGTTCACATTCTGTTAGTATTTTGGGGGATTGAGATAAAGCTGTGTTTCTCAAGAACCTGTTCTTTACTGGTTCATCAAAGTTCAGTCATTCCGTGAGGTCTCCTGGGAGTCAGGATGCTAGCTTTATTTATTTATTTCCAATAGCTTTTTGAAGTATTATTTACATACCATGAAATTTAAATGTTAAAGTTCAGCTTATTTTTGCTCATATTTTTACAGGACTGTTGATGGATTGAGTAAAATCTAGAAATTGACATGCTGAAGGAAAAAGTTGATATACTTGTGGGAGAATGGGGAAAGGACTTGAATTATTTTGATGAAAAAGAGTAAGACAAACAAATGACTCAAGTATTTACAGACTGAAGAATCATTGTTGAGAAATGTAGTTAAAGGAAAACATAAATACAGTAAGTGGAAGAGGACCAGAAAATTATGTTTGGTTGATTCCTACCCATCCATTAGGTTGCTTTGGGGATGCCAATTCTTCCTGGAAGCCAACCTTGATCTCTCCCAATCTGGCTTAGATGTCCCTGCAATATATTCCCAGAGCTCACTGTATTTTCTCAATTAGAGTAATTACATGATGTGTTACTAATCACTTGCTTATCTTTCTGAGTCTTCCTCTAAAGAGCAGGGGTTAGAAAACTCCTGTGGGCCAAATCTGCCTATTTTTGTAAAGTTTTATTTGAATACATCCACACCCATGCATTTATGTATTACTTATAGATGCTTTTATGCTACAGTAGCAGTGTTCAGTTGCAACAGAGACCCCACAGCCTAAAAAGCATACAAATTAACTTCTTGATTCTTTACAGAAGTTTGTTCTAGTCTATGAAGCCAGAGCAGTGCCTGCCTTGTTTATACTGTTGCATCTCCAGCACATACCACAGTGCTTGTCACCTAGAAGGAGCTAAATAAATACAAGTGAATATATAAATCGAATGAAAAAGTTTTCAAATCCTGCTGTGATTGAGTCAGAGGAAAAAAACAAGAAAAAGTTTTCAGAGACATCTATTTTGGGGTTATATGGAAGTCAGAATGAATTTAATCAGAAAATATGTAAAAGTGGGTACACAGTAGGTAAAAATCCCATTAGAAAGAATTTTATCATGATGTTTATAAGTCAGAGAGGCAGCTAAGCATAGTAAGAAGAATCAGCCAGACCTGGGGTCCACGGCTGGCTCTGCCTCCCACTTGCCATGTGGCTTCCATCAAATGATCAACATCAGCCATACTGAGCTTCAGCTGCTTTTTTTTTTTTTTTTTTTTGAGATGGAGTCTCTCTCTGTCGCCTACGCTGGAATGCAGTGGCATGATCTCAGCTCACTGCAACTTCAGCTTCCTTTTCTAAGGGTGGGGCATGTGATTTCTACCTTCATAGAGTGCTCTCAGGATTCAGTGAGACACTATGTGCACAGCCCCTGTCATAACTGAGTCTCATAAATGCTGATGCCTTCTCACCTTGTTTCCTTTTCTTCCAGAACAAAGTAACTTTCTTTTCCTTGCAGTAGACTGGAATCAGTCCTTTAGTGAGGTTTTAAATGACCCAAGCCCACGTTATTT